TTATTTTATTTTTAAATTCTCGAATTTTGGAACTGTTTTGGCGAAATTATATTATAATCGCCGTATCCCGTGACCAACAGTAGTGTGCTTAAAACGACAGGAATTTTTTTTTTCATGTGAGAAGGTGGCAAGCGAGCTGGCGGTTCACCTGGTGTTAACTGATACCGCCGCCCAGTGGCATTTACATCACACGTATGCGTTGCCATCTTATAACAAAGTGAGCCCCGGCTACCTCACTCACCAGACGAAACGCAGAAGTATAAAACCACTTCACGCCGGTCTTCCGTGAAGTCGTAGTACGTACCCGAACGGACCTGACTTAACCTTATCATGTCAAACCTCAAGTTTTACGACGAACCGATTGGAGTACTGCAGTTGTATTACGCCAAAGGACTTGGATTTCATATGCACTATGGAATATTATTTGATGAACCCAGTGTATACAGCATGTCGTTACAACTGCGACAATAAATAAACACACGTCGAACGTCTAACATAAAAATATGTAAAACGTTAAAAAATATATTTTTCAAACAAGTTAATTAAATAAAAAAGAAAAAAAAATGTAACATCCTAACATCCAACTACAACTAACTGATTTATACATTCAGAGACTTTTTCATTCGTTGTCACAACGTGGCATTACAAGTCTCTCCTTCTAACAGTATGTTTTATCTGCCGGTGGTAAGGCCACGCAGCTGTTCACGAATGGGCAGGCTCGTCCGGGTAAGTACCACGACCTCACAGAAGACCGGCGTAAAGTGGAAGTATAATATAAGTGAGGTGGTCGTAGCCCAATTATCAAAAGGTTGTCAACGCATCTGGAACGCTCGGGTGTAGCAGATGTCCATCGGCGGCGGTATTTACTTAACATCAGGTGAACCATCTGCTCGCTTGGCAACTTTTCACATTAAAAATAATATCTCTTTTAAATTCATTCAACCCATTCATATGCTTTGTGACCTTTACAAATGAACTTTACCTTACAGTTTTATACGTAAGGGTGTTCTAAAAATGTTTGTTTTGTAAAATGTAATAACTTGCTAAATATTGATGTTTAAAGAATGTAAATGCTTAATACAGTTTTAAAAAGTTATCCTCTATATGTGTGTTTTTTTTTTATGTGAAAGAGTGGTAAACGAGCTGGCGGTTTACCTGATGTTAAGTAATAAACGCCGCCCATAGGCATTTGCAACACCCGCAGGGTTGCAAATGCGTTCTCCACCTTTAAGTAAAGTGGGCCCCGGCTACCTCACTCACCATACGAAACGCAGAAGTGTAACACTTCTACTTTACGCCGGTCTTCTGTGGGGTCGTGGTAACTACCCGGACGGACCTGCCCATTCGTGCAACAGTGAAAACTGTTGCGTGGCCCTACCACAGTTAAAGTGTGTTAATTTATTGTCACGGTTGTCACGGCATGTCGTATGTATAACCTATAATAAGCTTTTTTTTTTAAGAAACTTCTTTACCGGTTATCTGGTACCTATAGTTGGCTCAGTTTGGGGATAAAAAAATATATCCTGATTCATTTTTGACATTTGTTCGGGTCATAGCCAGCTTGTTTGTCAACTCATGTCCGTTACCCTTTCGTCATCAACAACATCAACCAGCATAAGACGACCACTGTTGAACATAGGCCTCCCCCTTAGAACGTTACAACGAACGATGCCATTTGCATCCACCGTTCGCCCGCGACTCTTACGTTACTGTTTATACAGTTTCAAAACCATCGTTCGGGGCCTGTCATTCGCCGGCCCAAGAGGGGCGGCTGCCTAGCGCGAAAATTGCACCGCCCCGGGGCAGGAATGAAATCGCGAAAACAAAGCCGCCGCGGCGAGCGATCCGCCGCCATTGTTCCGAGCGAACAGAAAAATAACTATTTCTCCACTATCAGCGCCTCATCGCTGCTGAGAAATCATTTGGGAAAGACCAGAGCTTCGTAATCACGCGCGTGCAGAGTTCCGAACGGAAAGATTGTGTTAATTGAACGCTTACGTTATTTCGTTTCACTTTTGAAATTACTGTTATATTATATCCATAATATGTAACCTATTTAATACTACATATTTCTTAAATAAAATTTGCGCATGCAGGCGCGTTCCCGTTATGAGAGTGAAACATGAAAAAAAAAAGGAAATAATCATGAAACGCAAATTAAACACTAATAGACACTGAATTACATCACGCATGGTACCAGTGATATGACAGTATACATGTATGACTGGCGCACGCGCGCTGTACGATGTAGATCATTATATATTATTCTATCGCTTTATGTCGAGTGATTACATCGCTCCCTTTTTACGTTATATCTTTCTTCCCTGTCATGTAACGAAATGTGTCTAAACGTGACGCATCCTTGATTTGACTGACTTTCAATGCCAATATTCGGACCGCCGCTAAGGAAGTTTCAATTCATAAATTCTTGGATGTGTACTTCTTAAAAGTCACTCGTATCATCTCTGGAATATGGCCAGCGACAGTGACGACGTGTCAAAATTGCAAAAAAACTGAGAAAGCTTGATGGTCGACAGTACGCTACTATATACGATAGTTGACTCAGAGCCAGCAACGACTCCGTAAACTTCCTCATAAAACGTACGAGAAAAAGAAAGAATTTTAATATAATTGAAAACAAACAATATAAAATAGCACTATTATATGATTGTTTAATTGGTCTTACGTAGTACATGTTATTTCTTGATCGAAACCATGCATTCACTAATCGAATGTATAATTGAATACTATTAACTAAACAATTACTATTTCAAATGGCGTTAACCTCAATTAATTTACGCGCACGTGGCAACAAATTTCTCTACGCAATAAGCATATTAATACCTCAGAGGGCGCTATTAAGCTAAATCACCCGAGCTTCATTACGAGTTAGTTTAATCAGTCAACGCATAAATACGATGGTGGGTTTTCCAAGTAGCCCGGTTTCACAAGCGTAGAGGCCGCAGTAAATCACGCTGCCGTGTTCACATCTGAAACTGGGCAACAATGACAGAAGCGGCTGGGGGCACGTAACGCTGATATATCATTATAAGGAGACCGCGATTGACCTACCGCAACCCGCGACCGTCAGCTGTTTACTTTCTACGCGGTAGCGATCGTCGCGAGACGTACGCGAGTTCGAGCTGCACCCGCGGAGGTCGACGTGGTCCCAATGACGTGGCATTTATTTTTCGAACGCTCGTTCTAGAACGCGTTTTTAAGTATCTGGTTAAAAATAAAAAAAATAAGTAATATATTTTTGCAATTGTAAAATCACAACGTTGCGTCCGCTATATTAAAATTAATGGGTGCATATTAAACGCATAAGAGCACATCTGATCTGTTTCAACTGTTTCAATAGCTCGGTATGCAGCCGAGCAATGATGTAATGGAACGGAGTTATTCATAATTGATTTGTCGGCTGTAATTATTTTGAGTCCATTATAAAAGGTAATTATTAATTGAAAACTCCTATCAATACTTTCAAGAGTTTTATTAGATACGGATGGTCTTAATTAGGCCGAGTCATTTATTTGTTTGTATGCTTTAATAGGGATAAAGTCAGGTCGGCACCATGAATTATTTATTCCATTTGTTGTTCTAAACAATTTTTGTACAGCGTGTACCACGACAATAAATGAACACACGTCTAACGCTACTTGCCAATAATTTAAAAAAAATATAAAACGTTAAAAAAATCCATAATTAAAAAAATATATTTTTTCAAAAACTAATTAAATAAAAAAGAAACAAAATTTGTAACATCCTATACAACTGACTGATATCATACATTCAGAGACGTTCTCATTTGTTGCTACAATGTCGCATTACAAGTCTCTCCTTATAACAGTATGTTTTAATCTCATTTAAATTCATTCAACCCATTCATATGCTTTGTGGCCTATGCAAATGAACTTTACGTTACGGTCTTACACGTAAGGCTGTTCTAAAAAGGTTTGTTTTGTTAAATTTAATAACTCGGTAAATATTGATGTTTAAAGACCGTAAATGCTTAATACAATTTTAAAAAGTTATCCTCTATATGTCTGTATAATGCAAAAAGTTTTTGGTGCAATTTGCCGTCAAACATCTTATAACAGTGTAAGTTACGAAGTCAAAGTGAATAGACTCGAATTTGGGATCAATTATTCAATACATAGACATATTTTGATGACAAAGTCTTGATGATGACACAATTCACGACTAAATAGTGTAAACTGTCTAATAAAGAAAGATCAGTATACATATTATGAGTGTTCAATCGTTACTACTTTGATTCTAATATTTTAGCTATTTCTGAACTGGAATATTGACGTCTTTTATCACGACAAGCAGCACTAGTGGTTATATCACCGTTCGGGAACGCAGCCGAAAAGCCAGTGACCGCTGCTCCATGCGACCATGTGTCCCTTTGCTCAAGTAATGTCATATCCGGTATACAGTGTTGCCAGCGACAACAATATAGCTTTGTGACACCGACAATATCTTCATCTCATCATCGATACAACCTCTGATACGCTGATGTGTATCAAAGGCATTGTTTGTTTTCTCCTGAAAAGGATGACTCGTTCATACTATCTACTTAAAATGTTTTTTGACAAAGAACAACAAGAAATATACAATTTTTTTTAAACAGAAGAAGTAATCGCGCAAGCACATCATTTATTATCCATCAAAATTGTGAGGCCTTTCACTCGCAAAGGTTGCTCACAAACGAAACCAAACATAAAACAAAAGACACTGAACTCGATTACACTTCTACTTTACGTTAGGCCATATTGCTCCACCGGTACAAATAGTCTATCCTTGCAATTTTTTAAGTCGCTACATAGCACTAACACGGAATTATTATGCAAGGCAAACTAACAATAACAGAACAAGGATTCTTAAGATTGCCACATAACTCTATACCCTTACCGTACCCAAGTTCAAATTACGACCGCCCGCGACGCTTCAGCGGGAAGACGTTGGAAAATAAATATTTCGAAGCACCACTTTTAGACGGTGTCCGGCCGCTTGGAAGCGATTGAAACAAACGCCGATGAATCAACGATACTACAGACTGCTATCTCGACTGGGAACTGCTCTCGAAAACACATCTGCGAGTTTGCCAGTAAATTTACTTCGAGTTCTTGTTTTATTTTCTATTTTTCTCAATCAAAAGCACAGTTTAATTAAATCATAGAAACATTTATTGTCGTCGATGGATCCGGGTGGCTCAGGATCGCGCTTCATGGCAGTCTGTGGGGGAGGCCTATGTTCAGCAGTGGACTCAAACAGGCTCAAATGATGATGATGTCTTTCATTTTACTAGGATTACGGAAAGAAAGTTTTATCAGTCACAGGGCCCAAGAAAATATCCTTAACCAATAGTGACAGCTGATGACATTTAAGCCGACATTCAATATCTTGCATACCTTGGCAAATGTGCCACGGAGTCATCAATTTAAAACAACCTGAGTTGGTCTAAACTGTGGACTACGATCTATAGCTTTTTTTATGTGAGAAAGTAGCAAACGAGCTGGCGGTTCACCTGATGTTAAGTGATAACCGTCGCCCATGGACATTTGCAACACCCGTAGAGTTGCAAATGCGTTGTCACCTTTAAGTAAAGTAGGCCCGGCTACCTCAATCACCAGACGAAACACAAAAGTGTAACACTTCTACTTTACGCCGGTTTTCTGTGAGGTCGCGGTACTTACCACGGACCTGCCCATTCGTGCAACAGTGTTGCGTTGCGCGCTGCCGCCGTTAAAACAGTGTAGTGAGAACTTTACGAACCTGGAACAGCAGGTAGCCGGAGTCGTACATCCAGAAGTCTTCGGGCGCGTTGCCCGGCTTGCTGAGGTGGATCGCGAGGCAACGCTGCAGGATCAGCTGGCAGCGCTGCCCGCCCGCTCCGCGACCGCTCATGCCTTCACGCGGGCGGGTGCATGCTCTGCAAGTGTGGACGCACCTTTATTATATCATGCCATGACAGAAGAGTTCAACAACACTGCATGCAGATAGAACTTAGATACATAGAAAAAGTTTTTGCTCCACGATCGCTTATGTTACGCGGGTGGGTGCATGCTCTGCAAGTGTGTACGCACCTTTATTATCTTATGCCATGACAAAAGAGTTTATTTATTTATTCTTAAGAGTTCAACAACACTGCACGCAGATAGAACTTAGATACATAGAAAAAGTTTTTGCTCCACGATCGCTTATGTTACGCGGTTGGGTGCATGCTCTGCCAGTGTGGGCGCACCTTTAGTACTACATGCCATGCATTGCACGCAAATGGAACTTAGTACACGGATTTTTTTCACTCTGGCGATTGTTGATCTATCATCGGCGGTAAACACTTGCCTGTTTAAATCTTTATTGATCAAAAAGTGTGTACAATGAAAGCAACAAAGAATATCGAGATATCCATCCAGATCCAGAGTAACGAGGCACTAAACATTGATGAACTATTTGAATACTAATTGCAAATAGTTAATCCTTACTAATGTTATAAACGCGAAAGTTTGTATGGATGGATGGATGTTTGTTGCTCTATCACACTACACTCAATACTACTGAATGGATTTTAATGAAACTTTACAATAATATAGCTTATACATCAGAATAAGACATAGGCTATTACTTATATACATATTTTTATGTATATCTGTCTTTTTGTCTGAATGTTACGCCTTCAGCCTATTCTACGCAGACGTAGTCGCGGGCAGCAGCTAGCAAGATAAGGAAAACGTAATGTAATGTGTTTTAAAAGGTCTTTAAGTGTATTTTCACAATACTACTTTCAGGTTCAATTGAACGTAGTAATCTTATTAATTTATTTAGCAAGAGACAATCACTAACAAAATACATCACCACTACAACTGCGCATAACAAACAAACTATTCAGATAAGTATGAGTGCTGTATCCGTTATCGTTATTGAAGTATGTCTCATTTCCTTTACAGAAAAGGAATAAGGTTAAAACTTTATTTTGGCTTGTCATGTAACAAAAACGAATTACGATGTTTTTTATATAAGAAGATCGCAAGCAAGCTGATGTTAAGTGGTAACCGTTGCCCATGGACATAAGCAACTCCCGTAGGATTACATATGCGTTGCCATCTTTCAATAAGCTGGGCCCCGGCTACCTCACACACCAGATGAAACGCAGAGGCACTTCCACTACACGCGGGTCTTCTGTGTGGTCGTGGTACTTCCCCGGAGGAACCTGCCCATTTTTGCAACAGTGAAGTCAACTGCGTGGCAGGGCGTGTAACAGCTAAGACTTGTAACGGAGATTCAATGATGGATGAATGTTGAATAATAAACGAGATAATATCGATATTTGTTTTAACACATGACGGTCGTAACGTGTAACTTGGCACCGGAAAACGAACGCGAATTAGAGACATCCGGCAGTTTAACTGTATTTCCGTTTAGTGTATATAGCCCATTGGACGAAAGGCCAGACAACTAACTTGAAAACCGATTTGGTTACCAATTTAACTGGCAGGTTGCCAATTAATTATATTACAGTTAATATTCAAAAGTTCTTATAATATGTTTGTTATGTGAGAAGATGTCAAACGAGCTGGCGGTTCACCGGATGTTCAGTGATAACCACCGTGTCATTTGCAACAACCGTAGGGTAGCATAAGTTGCCACCTTTTAATAAAGTAGGCCCCGGCTACCTCACTCACCAGAAGAAACGCAGAAGTATAACACTTCCACTTACCGTACATACCTGTAAACTATTACGAAACGATAACCACAAACACGAAGTAAACTCAAAGAAACTCGTTCAAGTTTAACCGTGGCTAAACGCAAACCGCCTGAGACAAAGCTATGAATAATTTCCCGATGCCGAATACAATTGGAACCCTTGACATGACAGTTGTGGAGCGAGGTGACAGTGGAAACGTTATGCGTACAAGCGACGTCCTTTCACGCATAACATTATGTAAAGAATTGATATTTGCTGGCGCTATACTAACTTAGGCCCATAACCATTTGCATCAAGACAATGTCACAGATTGTGAAACTATAGACAGTAATGACTAATATCTATTCCAGAAGTTATTTAAATTGAATAAATTTACTAAAATATTCTACCAATCTAATAAGCTGTAATACAATTTGTACATCTGTCTGTAACTGAATCCAACTTTAGAGTTAGGTTTATCTAGGTTTATCTCATAATGTTTTTGAAATCTCTGAACTATAGAATCATTTTTAGAAAATAATTTTTAAGACCCCGATTCATTTAAAACGATATACAATTTAAAACCATAAAACATTTGTCAGAGATAAGCAAGTTTTAGATAAGCGCTATATAGAATAATTATAAAGACTTTTACAATCAACCAAAATGACTTAATTTTATTTCGTAGTAGTCGAACTGAATAAGGGAAGTGCACAAATCATCCGTCGTCCCGGAAGCCGAATAATTATATAAAGCGACATAATTTTCAGTGTCCCAGCCAACAGCTTTTAGCGAACCAATCTCCATAATCGGAAACTGTACCTGGGTTCATGTTCCGTTCGCAAAATGTCACGCTCTCCACGCTTTTGCTCTTATTGCGAGAGTACTAAGTGTTAGATTCGTTAATTACACTGTAGGGATAAATTTGCAATGCCGCAAAGTAAGTGCTTGTCGTGGACATGGCGAACTGTATCGCCACGCGTTTAATATGATGCTAGATTCGAGTTACATAACTCCGCTTGAGTTAGTCCGGCGGGAAGAGATAAATAGACGTGTAAACTTACTTTAACTGTAAGTTCGTTAATGTAGAACTTAGCGAGGATTATAACCATAAATTAACATAGAGGCAATAAACGTCAAAGATTATGTTACGCTTTAAGTAAATAGTTAATTAAATTGTTTAATCGTTAATAATTTAATCATTATTCTATTATAGCCAGAATAACAAACGCATATTCGAAAGCACACAGTAACCCACTGTGTTAAAATTTCAGTTCAAGTTATCTGATCTCACGAAAGTACATAATATTATCTCATGAAAATCTTTCTATGTTGTCGAGGATCTTATTAATTCATACACACTCGTACATTCGGACTTGAAGGATGCGGCAGTTTATTAAAGTTAAAATACGTCTTTCTTTTTCTTTTATATGGTTTGAAACAATGACGTTATTCCTAATCCCTTCGTTTTGGGAATTCTAACATACTTATGTAAGAAAAAGATGGCGTTGCTTTACGGCAGAACATGAAGGAGAGCCCCAGGCAATTTTGGCCTTTATTACCCGCTCGTTCAACCTTAGCACTATTAACCACGACACTTAAGCAGGTCGACTGCTTAATTGGTGTCTTTAATTACTGTTATTCCATAACAGTACCCATCTGGAAGCAGGCTCGTTATTTTTACACGGCGTCCAATGTTCATATGAAGAATAACACTATATAAGTGCACTGGTGTGGCGTCGGTGAAAAGAGCATTTCCTTATTTGGACTACTGGACAACAGGTCCCATGCAAGTGTATCGTTCGACGACAATGGACTCTAATGACGCTACTCACAGGGTGCGTAATCTAATAACTCAACGGCGGATGTGACACGACATACTACCAAGGCTAGTCTGCTAAATGCGGAAGGTATGCTTCCAAACGGAACATTTATTTATAAAATTGTAACCGTATGGTTCGAAGTTCATAAAAGTTTCGTAAAATACTGCACAAGAAGTCCTTATTTCCCACAAGTCCAATCTAAATTATAACCTTAGTCAATACTGTTCAGTTTTATTATACAATTAAATTTCTATTATACTACGAGCTAAATGCACAGATCAGAACTATAATTATATTATAAAAAATGTAACATTAAAAATTTTATATAATATAAAAGTTATATATTAGAGTAAGTTAGTAGTCATAAAGTTATATATAGAGATTAGAGTACATTATCATAGTCTGTGATTCAGTCTATAAAAAGGCGCCAAAAGAATATCTCAAGATTCAGATGCAGTCAATACCAATACTACCATCCTATCCAAAATCTTAAGCTTACTTACACGATAGCCTAGAATTTTAGTATGTTATCGCGTTAAATCATTATTTGTATGTTTTCATTACACTAAACTTCAATTCCGAAGCAAACGAAAGTTCGATTTCATCCGCCTTCTTATTTTTCAGTAGGGCACATTTTTGAACTACCAGGGCGTCATCATCTAAAGGTGGCATACTCGTAAGTGAGTGTCACTTCCTTTCGCGCGCCGATCGCGTGTGCGTTTCGGCCATAAGTAATACCGAAGTAGCGCCATTTCGTGAATTAAGGTCGTACCACACTAGCGCGTCTATCGCCCGCCATTATAACGGCATCATCCAATTCAGGCGTTGTGCAACGGCCTCGGGCGTCCACGTAACGCCTTTACGTCATCCGGCAGTGTGGCATCTTCTTTTTGTTTCGCGCTGGAAGCCGTAACGTCGTGACTGTTTGTTTATCTACGCGTTTGTCGCCCTTTCGGTTAATTGGTAGCCCCTATAGCGCTGGTGGTTATCTTAAAGTTACCTTAAAGGACTGAAAGGTTTTTGCAACTCGTGTGGCAATTGCTTACCTTCAAGACAACCACATTTTCCATAAAATAACTCATTTATAGTGAGACAATATGGCACCATGTATTACTTTGCACAAATTATTGAACTAAATATATGTTGTATAGTTGAACCTATGTATAACAGTCACAAGACAAAACTTAGAGCTTTGACAAATTTCAATTCGAGGGAAGCTTTCTAAAATATTATAGAATTATATTATAAATTCTTGCTTTTTTATGTGAAAAGTTGCCAAACGAGCAGGCGATTCAACTGATGTTAAGTGAATACCGCCGCCCATGGACATCTGCTACACCCGAGGGTTTGCAGATGCGTTGACAATCATTTTGGAAATTGGGCTCCGGCTACCTATCTCA